TCAATTCACTTGCATAACTATACACACAAGTATTCCTTAGTTATAGGAGAAAACAAAGTAATCACTAAGAATTTTCCCCCAATAACTACTATGGATTTATCTATGTGCTCCTTTCCCTAAGGAATCACAAATAGAAGGGCACCAAGTATCCTTAAAGAAATAATTGTTTTTCAATGCTGCATTTGTCTTACCACACCTGTCAGTTTTAGTAACCTAGCCTAAATTATGGAAAGGACACAAAATGACCTCCAATAGTTGCCCATTTTAATATGGCTTTTAAATTAATCACATTTTCTGATGCAGTCCAAATTCAAATTATTATTTTAGTTGCTTAATATACTCCAAATATCTGAGTTTACTGTACAAATTTTTTTTCTACATTTAAAAGTTTCATGCTGTTGTGAAGATACTTTCTCAGGTTGCTGAGAATAAAATTAGAATCTACTTTCTATCAAAGATCAATGAAAAACTGAATAAAATGATAAAATGTCTTACATTCTTCCAAGGACTTCAGAAGTATTTTGTGAATACTTCTAAATGTACATATTTAGCTTTTCACCTTATACTCCTATCTTCCAGGAAAAAGAAAATATGACATAAGCCTCACATCTCAAACTTGGCCTCACAAATAAAAGGCTGATATTCACCAGTGCAAGAATAAAAAAGGTTCAATTTGGTTAACCAAAGTGCTACATCTATTGTTACTGAGTATGGTGCCCCCCCACCTGTAATCCCAGCTATTCAGAATGCTGAAGATCACAAGTTCAAGGCCAGCCTCCAAATTAACAATAACTTGTCTCAAAAACACAAATTTTAGGGCTGTGGATATAGCTAGGTTGGTAGAGTGCTTGCCTCACATGCACAAGGCCCCGATTTCAAATCCCCAGCACCACACAAAAAAATACAAATTTTATAAGGGCTGGGATATCACTCAGTGGTAGAGTGACCCTTGGTTCAATCCCCAGTACCACAAAATAAAAATGAATATTGAGACATAATAGTTTTATCTTGTGGAAAAATGCATTTATAAAGTAAGCAAACAACAAATGTTTAAAAGACTTGAAAGAAATTTCTGCATTTACAGTAAGGAAAAAGCACAAATATATTAATAGCATTCACTCTACCTTAATGTTTAAGCATTATGAAATAATTTTTTAACAAAGAAAGCAGTAGCCTAGATAATCTCCTAATATTGCTTCAACATTTTCTGAAAAATGTATTTCTCTTCCCAGGAAGACAGACCAAGGTTTAACTTCTGAATAGAGGTTGAAATGAGAAAACTAAGTGAAAACTAAGACACAAAGAAAAGGTTGCTGGGGCTGGGGTTCAGTGGCAGAGTGCTTGCCTGTCATGTGTGGGGCACTGGGTTCGATCCTCAGCACCACAATCCAAAAAAAAAAGCAAATAAAATAAAGTCATGCTGTCCATCTCAACTACAAAAAGAAAAAAAGAAAAGGTTTCAGTAAAAGTTTCAGCTGAATTTAGTGCAACTCTTTTTTTGGAGGGAGAGCATTCAACCACCAAAACTAAAATTTCTTAGAACGATTATATCTCCCCTTCTTCCTTCCAAGACATTCACATCAGATGACATTTATTAAACATCTAAATGTACTAAGTTTTGCAATGTCTAAAATCATTTGAAAGCAGAAGAAAAAGAATGACATCTAAAACATTTGGCAATTACATTTTAAAACTTTATTAAAACTATCAATAATCAATAAGATCTAACAAAAACTTCTAATTGGAATGTTAAATTTTTAAAGAAAAAATTCTTCAAACAGATAGATAATACTCAATGAATGAAAGCATTTCAAAATTAGACTAAATATTGATTTTGAGAGCATATAAGATAGCATTTTCAGATTAGGAACTTGGAATATCAAATGTCCATTAAGATTATGACAAAGAAATGCTAAACTCACTGAGTTAATGATTTCTACAAGAAAAAGAATTCTCCACTGGATATACCAGTTACATGCAAGTTTATTACTTTAATCATGGGTAAGTCTTATGTGCCCATGAAATTATCAAAAAAAAAAAAAAAACTAATTCCAAAATTAGAGTGATTAAATTCATATCTTGTATATGTGCAGAATTTGAAAGGGTTTGCAATTAGATGTGAAACTTGTAAGAGGCAGTCTTAAGTATTACTGAAAAGAACACCTAAATTATGTTGGGTACTCCTCCTCCGCCTTTCTGATACCCCTTGGGAAAGAACACATTAGGAGTTTAATAATTTAACATTAAAAACAATAAGTATCTCTAGAAACATAATAGGGTAGCTAGGTATGCAATGGATGTACCAGTCCAATGGACAAAATACAATTTTAATTTTCTGCATAATTATTTAACAAAGCTTATTCTTCAAAGCCAAGATCTTCTATCTAATAGAGAGTTGTCTTTCATGGGGCATAATTAAGAATTTGCCATCTTTGTTAGTTATAAAATGCCCACATATTTCATGTTGCTTTTAACAGTATGACAATGTAGTTGACTACAACTCCCAGAATAAACTTATGCTAGTAAAATGTGACAGACAGGAAGCCCAGCATAAAGTTCCACACCTGTAATTCCAGCTACTTGGGAGGCTGAGGCAGGAGAACCACACCAAGTTCAAGGTCAGCCTGCAGAACTTAGTGAGACCCTGTATTCAATTTTTAAAAAAATTTTTACATGGCCGGGAATGTAACTCAGTAGTAAAGCATACCTGAGTTCAATCCCCAGTATCATAAAAAAGAAGTGACAGAAAAGAAATGAATTAACAATCTCATTATATGCATTATATATTTTTTAAAAGATAATTTTCAGGGGCTGGGAATATAGCTCAGTTGGTAGAGCGCTTGCCTAGCATGCACAAGGTCCTGGGTTCAATCCCCAGCATCACCAAAAAAATAATAATTTTCAGTCAAGTAAAATCTCATCTGCTTGTTAAAAACAAAATACATAAGAAACAATTTGAAATATTGGTCATAGTCCAAAAGCCAAATCTATAAGTGGATTCACTAATAATTTGGTTGCACTGTCTTTATCGTTTTTTGATGCTGTTTTTCACTGTTTTTTTTTACACACTTTTTTTAGTTGTAGATGGGCACAATACCTTTTATTTATTTACTCATTTATTTTTATGTGGTATTGAGGATAGAACCCAGTGCCTCACACATGCCAGATGAGTGCACTACCACTGAGCCACAATCCCAGCCCCTCCAGATGCTGTTTTATATTTAAGATACATTTTTTTCAGACAAAGGATTTTCTGGTAATGTTTACAATACCATTTGTTCTAATAAAATAAAAATGCTAACATCTATCTTTAGCAAGATAAACTCTGAAGTAGGCTATATGTAATGAAGTTTTCATAGAAGAAAAAAGAAGTCAAATAAATGAAAGTGAAGTACTGGATGGTGGTGTGTCAATTTAAAATATTTCAGTATATAACTTTAAATTCCTTTCATGTAATACAGTTATAAAACTGACCATACTGATTTGGATCTACTATAATTCAAACCCCATTCCATAAGCCAAGCAATAACTACATGCATATAAGTGCTGATAACAGTTTTAAAGTAGCTCTTTAACACAAGGAACTATGACTGTTAGCATGGATCATGTAAATACACATAAAGTGAACCCAAAATTCTATTTTAACCTTACATCTCTTAGTCTTCTTCCAATCAATACCAGTCAGAAGCAAACAGAAGTTCACCTTCCAGCCCAATATTTGTCATTCTAAGTTGGAAGCAACAATAGTAAAAATGTCAAAAACAGCAGCTGGGGGCCAGGGATGTAACTCACCGAAAAAGAATGTACAAACACCACAAAAAAAATTTAAAAGTGGAGGAGGACACTAAGTAATTTACAAAAATGAAAACCCCTAAATAGATGATCTGGCTCTAAAGGTAAATAAAACAACGATGAACCAATTTATCCATTTTCAGGGGATTACCCTAAGATAGATGATGATGATGGTCTGGTTGGATTTGTTAACTAGTACATATGAGGATTTGAAAAATGTTCCTAACAGTTAAAAATGAATGTTTAGCTGTCGGTCAATAAACCAATAAGCACTATAAGTATATGCTGGAAGGGGGCGGGGGGTTAAACCAAGAGAAATATGAGACATAATCCCTATCCTTCAAAGACCTCTCAATTCATTAGAGTACAAGAGTAAATACACATGAAGGAGTCAGAGACCAATTAATTGCTAACCCGAGTGGTACAGACTTTAAGTGCAAAAGCTGTCCTGAGAAGTTTAAATATCTAAAGGCTGGAATAATATTACTTTTAATAGCCATCACTTGAGCACTTACTATAAGCCAAGTGCTTTACAGGCATTATTTAGTCTTCACAACAATCCTTTGAGTACTTATTATTCCCAATTTACTCAAGGGGAAACAAAGTGGTTAAGGAACTTACCCAAGGTCACTCAGCTAGTTAAGTGGCTAAGACGTCCGCTTATTCAGGCAATCCAATTCTAGAGCTCACACTAAGTTTCATAAAACAGTGGGGGGGGGGGGGAGTAAGCCATAATATAGGCTGGCAACATTACAAGAGCAAGACCGGGCAACGCGTTCCTGGCGCTTGGTTCCAAGTAACAAAGTTCCAAAGATTCGTATCTTTCCTACCAGCAACAGTAAACTGGTTACTGGAATTGGGGGGACGACCAAAATGACTAACAAGAATTAATATCATACAGGGTTGACCTTTAGCTTCTAAAGAGATTCAGAAGGAAAGTAGAACTAAATTATTTGGTTTTAAATTTGTGGTTTTACTGCTTAAACAATTTTTTTGGGGGGGGAGGGGCGGAGCTCTGAAATTATGGGCGAGGAAATCGCCGGTATGGGAAACTACTGTTGTATTACCGAAAAGAAAAATAAGTTTTGTGACTAAAGGAAACGCGTTATCCTAGGTGCTAGAGAAGCTTGGAGAGTTGCCAGAATTAGTTACAGTACCAGAACAAAATGGGTTTTAGGAAACGTTCAATGACAAAAGTTGAATCCAACCCGAAATAGCTCCAAGGTGAAAAGACGGAGCAAAGAAATGCCGATAGGTCTTCGGGGAAACGGCAATCCCGGCCACTCTTCCCCACGGCCCGTGGCGCTGCGCAAGGCCGGGACAGTCCAAGACACCGCTCCCCCGGAGGACCAGAGGTGCCAAACGGGGCTCTTCACGACGCCCCGGGCTTCTCGGCGGCGGGCGGAGAGAAGGGGAGAGTCCGGGACGGTTCACCCTCCTCGGACTTCGTGCAAAGGAGGCGGCAGGCTCCAAACTGCGGAGTCGAACGGGTGCAGAGTGAAGAAATGGAACAGAAAAAAAATGGAAAGTCTGAATCGCTCCGGCGCAGACCCATAAAGAGAAAGGAGCCAAGTGAGCTCAAGCGAAGAGGGGGACAAAAAGAGAGAGAGCGGGAGCGTGGGGACCGGCAGGGACGAAACAGGAGTTCTGCTAAGAGGCCAAAGGAAGCTGACCTGCTGCGGACAGCAGGGATTTGGGGGAGGTCAAGGAAGGAGGGAGGCCGACGGCAGTTACCAGTACCGCTCCTCCCTAAGTTCGAAACTCCTAGCCAACCATCCACGCCCGCCACCGGGTGGGGGAGGGGGCACATCTTCCCCCCGACACTCACAACCTCCCACCACACTTGAGTGTATGGCCAACGCCCTGTCTCGGCCAGGCCCTGCGCCCACCTCTGGCCCGAATACTCACAATTCGCTTCTCCCTGATTTCTCCCAGTTCTTTATCCACTCTGCGGGAACCACCACAGTTGCGGCCGCCATCTTCCCCTCACTAGTAACAGAGGCCCGGATGTGTAGCACGCGAGCGAGGGGTCAAAGGGGAGTACCGCCCACGGGGAATGCCGGGAGCTGCAAGTTCGGTTTTCGATTTCCCGCCCCACCTTCCTTCCCTCCCTGCGGAAGCCTGAGGCCCAGCAGCCAACCAAGTAGCAGAGACTCCTGGGCCCTTTGCAAAGTGACTATGCTGGCCGCGCCCCGCACCGTCCTCGCCTTTGCTTCCCTTTAGAACAGAACAAATGCCACACCCGGCCCGACTCTTAGCCCTTACCGTCTTGCGTAATATCTACCCCAGACCACTATTTCGAACATGTGTTTTTCAAGCACCCAATACGTGCTAGACACTGGGGAAAAATAAGCCACTTCGACTACCTTCAACGAGCTCACAACCTGGGAAAGACAGAAATAGAAGTAGATAAATTACACCTCTGCTAACTGCCGAGATAAAATAAATTAATTGGGGAGGGAAGCAACCATTTATCATGTGCCAAGCAATATGCTAACACAAGGGATACAATCTATCCCTGGGAAACACATGAGCCTTGAGTTCTGACCCCCTGCTGTGTCTGCCAACCTAGGGGGTGCAAGTATGATGAGAAACAAAATATTTACATTGTCTCAAAGTATCTCTCCACAAGATACTATAACAAAGGTCAAAGTGGAATCTTTACCATGGGAAAACATGGCAGACATCATCCCATGTGGTAAAAATAATTTCTCCAAGATTGAGGGTGAAGTTGCAGGTAGAGCCCTTGCCTAGCATATGCAAGATCCTGGGTTTGATCCCAAAAAAGTAAATGTCCCCAGAAATAGAACAAAGGGACATCATATGACTCCTGATAAGGTGCTAGGAAAAACACTAATCAAATTTTTCATATTAATCATGCCCCAAAATTACATAACCTGAATTTAAGCATGAGGAAACTGTGAAACAGACCCATGTTGAGGGACAATATACAAAATTACTGGCTTGCACTCTTCAAAATCGTCAATGTCATGGAAGACAGATCGAGGAATTCTTCCAGATTAATAGAGACAAGAAACATGATAACTGAGTCTCGGCAAGATTTTTTTTTTTTTTTTCATTTGCTGTAAAGAGCATTAGTGAGGGGCTGGGGTTGTGGCTCAGTGATAGAGCACTTGCCTCACACGTGTGAGGTACTGGGCTCCATCCTCAGCACCACATAAAAATAAATACAGATTTTTTTTAAGAGAGCTTTAATGGGAGAACTGACCAAATTTGAATACCTGTAGATCAAGAAATAATATTATATTAGTGTTAATTGCAATGCTTGGACTGTGATTACTAAGAAAACCTTTCTTTCTTTCCCCCTACCCCCTGTGCTGGGATTGAAGGGATGGGGCATTGAGCCATTTTTTTTCTTTTTTTTTTTTTTTTTTTTTTTTTTTTTTGCACCAGGGATTCAACTCTGGGGCATTCGACCACTGAGCCACATCCCTAGCCCTATTTTGTATTTTTATTTTAGAGACAGGTTCTCACTGAGTTGCTTAGCACCTCACAGTTGCTGAGGCTGACTTTGAACTCATGATCCTCCTGCCTCAGCCTCCCCAGCCACTGGGATTATAGGCGTGCACCACTGCACCTGGCATAAATCACTACATTGATGGTGCAATCCTCCTGTCTCAGCCTTCAGAGTCGCTGGGATTACAGTAGTGTACCACCATGCCCTGCAAAGGAATTTCTTGTTGTAATAAACAATACTCATTGTAGCCTTGCTCAGGTGTTGCCCCTCTTAATCCTAGCTGCTAGGGAGGCTGAAGCAGGAAGGTTGGAAGTTCGAGACTACTGAGATAATGGATCATTGATTTGCAATTTACTTGGAAAGGGTTCAGAGAAAAACTCAGAGGAGAGCATTTTTGGTTCAAAAGAGTGATGATTGGGTGTTCGAGCTGGTGTGTGCTAGATATGTGCATCTCTCCCTCTAAACCTTGTTAAGATGTGGCACGTTGTCCAGCTGAAGTGAAAGAAAGAGGAAAGGGGGAAAAAAGAAAGCAAAACTAGTAGGATGAGTAAACAAATGTGAAATGTTAACACTTTAGGAAGACTCTAGATTGAAGGAGTTAAGGAAATACTACCCCCCAAAATACACTGATTTAGTATGCCATTACTTCAAACTGAACACATTCTAGGAACTACAAATGTGGGGAGGGGGTTTCTTTAGACTTACTTTATTTGCCTAAAGACAGACCTTCAGAAAAATACTCAGCTGGCATGAATTCCTCTCTGTGAAAATCCTCATCAATCAGGGAAAACTAAAACTCTTGCACTCTTCAAAATCGGGTGGGGGTGCACACTTGAGTTGCAACTAAGGAGGCTGAGGCAGGAGTATTTCAAGTTCAAAGCCAGCCTCAGCAACTTAGCAAGGTCCTAAGCAATTTAGCAAAATAAAAAGAACTGGGGATGTTGCTCAATGGTTAAGCACCCCCTGGGTTCAATCCCTGGGAAAAAGAAAAAATATTAAACTCTTGTCAGAGATAGAGGACTGGAGGTCAACACCATACCCAGATTTTGTCATAGCCTATCACCTATTCTTCTGAGGACCCATTCATCTTACCAGCAAATAATTTCTTTTTCCTTAAATTACCTACATCTCCCCTATACTATCCACTATTATGAGGGTGTAAAAGCTACTAGATCTCAGTGGACATTTGGGAATTGACTTTTCTTTCATGTGATGTCCCTGTGCACATAATAAATTTATACACATTTTCTCCAATTATCTATTATCCACTTATTTCATAGACTCAATAATCAAACAGTGGGAGAGTAGAAGAAAAGTTTACCCTCCCATTAGGATGAAGGACATGCAGGGATTTTCTGTTCTATTTTCAAAATAAAAAAAAAATTTAGAAATACATATTTGGCAGAAATTTAACAAAATAAATGAATGAAATCTTCCACACATATATTAAATCATGAACTCTAGAACTAGTATCTTCTAAATTTGGCACATTTGTCAAATGAACCAGATTCATTTGCATCGAAAAACTGTTCAGGGGATAAACTATGTTCTGAATAGGTTGGGGAAGTCTAAGTTTTTTATTATTGTTTTTCACCAGCTATATCTAATCTCTTTTTAAAATATTTTTAGTTGTTGATAGACCTTTATTTTATTCATTTTACTTATACGTGATGCTGAGAGTCAAACCCAGTGCCTCATACATATCAGGCAAGCGCTCTACCACTGAGCCACAATCCCAGCCCCTATATCTAATCTCAATATCTTGTCTGACTTTAAATTCTAAAGTCACCCACTAAAAAAATACATCATTCAATTTTCAATAACTTTTGCACTCTTAAAAACCTTTTGCCATTTTGAGGTGAGTCAAAGATATGAATGCCCTCTGATCTTTTCATGTTTCATTATTATGAAAAATTTCAAATATATACAAAGTTAAAAGAATGGTATTGTTAATCTTCATGGACCATCATCCTCCCTAGAAAACTCTGAAGTCATTATTACAAGGTAGCTTTTGTAATGCAAGAAACACTGCCTTACTATTTATGTATACTTCTCTGATTAACCTACAACAGGGTTTTGCAACCTTGTGCTTTAACTACATTTGGCTCTAGATAATTATTTGTGTTTGTGTTGGGAGGGAGGGGGTTCCTCTGCATTGTAGGATGGTCAGCAATAACCCTAAACTCAGCCCACAAGATATCAGTAGCAAACCTCCACACACCTACATGCACCATTTATTACAACCAACAATGTGTAAATGTCTCCTAGAAGGTAAAATTGCCCCCTGTTGAGAGCCACCAACCTACTATATTCTGCTGTTTGGTGGCTTACCTTGCCACACATCACAATGATTTCTCTTTGCGAACACTACCCTGTGTACAGTATACATGTTACTCAGTATGCCACAAAGATGGTATGACCTGAGTGTAATGATACCCTTTGAGACCTACGTTTTCTCTTTTCACAGAGTCTGCAGAACTATTTTTAAATGATATGATGACTCCTTTAGGAATTACTCAGAGCTAATTGGCTTTTGCTCTATAAGATGGCAAAAGTTTGTCTTTTGCATCCTTGTTGTTGGCTTGCATGTTCATTGCTATCAGCATCTAGCATTATCTCAGCAGCTGGGAGTATTGTTCCCTGGTAATCTCACTGGCTCCTGGGTGCTAATGTGCTGGCCAGGGACTGAGTAGTTTCAATATTGACAGTTTGATGCATAAAATGATAGGTGATTGCAAAGCTTTTCTAAGATCCAAAGTGAAGAAAAGTTCCTTGAAATTAGCTACCTGATAGCTTCTGTATTTTAGGCTAAAGGTATTTATGCCAAGCCAATCTACATGGCTCCATCCTATCCAAACTGTTCCTTTAGTGAGAAAAACACCTTTTCATTATCTGTGTCAGGTAGTAGAGTTAGGTCTTCATTTTGGAACTGGAATCCCACAAGGAAGCAAAGGGGGAAGAGAAGGCAGAAGAGATACTGATTTAGATCCCTAGAAAATTCATCAAGGTCACAGGGCAAAGATGACCAGAGTGTGGTAACTGGGTTATGTTAGCACTACTTGTCTATTAGGCATTATTATGATCCAGATTATAAAGATTTTTATTGTCTCCTATTTTTCATTGTTGTTCTCCCTTCAATTTCATTTTCCTCTTCTCTCCCACTTCAAACCTAAGTAGTCAGGCTCTAGAACCAAATGTCTTAACTATACTGCTGGGGATTGAATGTGTGTGTGTGTATGTGTGTGTGCATTTAAGTTTTGTTGGTTTTGTGTGTGTGTGTGTGTGTGTGTGTGTGGTTCTGGAGACAAAACTTGGGGCCTTGAACATGTTATGAAAGTGCTCTACCACTGACCTACACCCCCTCTCCCTGATGGGGTTTGAACTCTGGTTTTACTACTTAGTTGCATGACCTTAGGCAAGTTAATTACCGTCTCTATACATGGATTTCTTCCTTTATCAACTGACCCAAACAGTGTCTGTTGAGATTGAAATGGACTAAAT